AAACAGGAAAGGCCATCAAAATGTACCTGTCCTCAGTTTCCCCAATGTGACAGATCTCTGCGGCAATTGTTATGCATTCCTCCCTCCTGTCAAATGTTATTGCTCTTTAGGGACCCAAATTGTCGTCTTCCGACCAAGATTTGTTTCCTCTGTATTTATGCATTGAAATTATGATGTGTGTTTTGTTTAATTTAAAACCATTTAAGCCATAATGTAAACGCACATTCCATAATTGAGCAAAATGTATTTAAGATGTTTTCAGATTCCTCTCGGAGAACGTTAATTGCTGCGCACATGTGTCCCCCCCCCCCCCCTTATGCATTCGTGTTCTGGCAAATGAGAATAAATAGCTTCCAATGCTCTACAGATTCTGAACTGTACTTAGCCTCACGGAAATTGTCGTGACTTTGTTCCCGTGCCTCATTAACAAAGCTCGTTCCCATCTAAAAGTTCTTTTGAAGTCAGTCTCTCTGCGAAAAGGTTTTCTTGCGTTCAGATATATGTATTGCAAGATATATTTCCATGCTATTTAACAGGTTGATTGGGTGCCAAACCCAAGTTCTTTGCTTTTCACTGCCTCTAGTGGGTTAAAAGTCAGTTGTTTTGATGGGGATCTAAATAAAGATGAGGAACCTGTTGCCCTCTAGAGCTTGGTTGATTGCGACTCCCATCATCCTTTGCCATTCATAATGCAAGGTTGATGGGACTTACTATCCAGTAAGACATGGAGGGCTTCATGCCTCACGTATATCCCTAGAGAATCCCATATACAAAATAACCCCCAAATGGGTGGTTGAGAGAATGACACTTTTGCTTTCTGATGCTTCATGGTGCAGAAACATTATTTAATTGTGTTGGTGTGGTTTTTTTGGGCTGTGATTCCAACCATGAAAGCCTTTGACAACATTATTTAATTATGTTATAAAACTAGCTTTATTTAGGCTATGTATAGGCAACCCCTTAGTTAGAGCCCCCGGTGCCGCAGTGGATTAAACTGCTGAGCTGCTGAGCTTGTTGACAAAAAGGTCGCAAGTTTGAATCTGGGGAGCAGCATGAGCTTCCGTTGTCAGCCCCAGCTTCTGCCAACCGAGCAGTTTGAAAACATGCAAATGAGTAGATCAATAGGTATTGCTCCGGCGAGAAGGTAATGAAGTCATGCTGGCCACATGACCTTGGAGGTGCCTACGGACAACGTTGGCTCTTTGGCTTAGAAATGGAGATGAGCACTACACCCGAGTTGGACACGACTGGACTTAATGTCAAGGGAAGACCTTTACCTTTACCTTATCTAGTTAGAAACATCCAACTTACAAATGACTCCTAGTTAACAATGGGGCTAAGACAATGGGAAGAAAGAGAAATCTAGCATTAAGAAGGAAAATCCTGGAAGAGTCATTATCAGCTAAATATATATATTATATCATTCATATGCTGGAGTTACACTTCAGAAAGGTCCCTGTTCAGACTTGGCTCCTATCTACAAGATCCACCCCTCTCTCTCATTCCATATGCATATGTATAGATAAGTATTCCAAAATCAAAAAGACAAGAAAAATATATTCAACCTTTATATGTATATTAAATGGATTAATGAAATGTCTGTACTTCCTAAGATATGTACCTCAGGACATATTGAGCACAGCCTCCAAAAACACTGAAAGATGGGGAAAAGCCTATATATAAATACCTCTGTCTTGTCATTGTATAATCAGCATTGAAAGTTTGCCATGTTCTGTGATCCGCCCTGAGTCCGCTTTGGGGTGAGAAGGGCGGAATATAAGTACTGCAAATGAATGAATGAATAAATAAATAAATACCTCTTTACAGTTGTCAACCAAATCTGATGGGTCTCATTGGCCTTTTGACAGTATTGGCATAGCAGCAACAGCAGCAGCAACAACAACAACAACAACAACAACAACAACAACAACAACAACAACAACAACAAAAACAAAAACAACTTATTTCTAGACCGCCCTCTCTCCCTGAGGGTACTCAGGGCAATTTACATACTTATAAAAAGACAAATATTCAATGCCATAATTAGAATCACAAAACATCAAAAATGTGAAACAGACATTAATAAACTTGTTACCAAACGAAAATTAAAGTAATATACAGATACTTGAATAAATCATAATTACACTAATAAAACATAATTGCAGAAAAGACATATATCCTAGACAATTAAATGGCTAAAATGTAAACAATGCCTGACATTAGTTGTGATTTAAAATAGACTGAAGCAGCCATAAAGTGCTAATTAAACTGCGCTAGTCCTCCTCCTCTCCGTATGCTAAGGTGCATAAGAATGTTTTCAGGAGCTTCTTGAAGGAGAGGAGGGTGGCGGCCATTTTTATTTCTTTAGGAAGGGAGTTCCAGAGGCTGAGAGCAATCACAGAGAAGGCCCCCTCTCTCATTCCCACCAGCCGCGCTTCTGACAGGTGGGACTGAGAGCAGGGTCTCCTCCGCTGACCACAGTGCAAGAGGTGGTCTATATAGGGAGATGAGGTTAGACACATAGCCTGGACCCGAACTATTTAGGGCTTTATAGGTAAAGATCAGCACGTTGTATGTAACCCAGAAGCGCACCGGCAGCCAGTAGAGCTGTCATAACATGGGAGTGGTTCTCTCTCTATACAGGGCCCCAGTTAGTAACCTAGCTGCCGATCCTTGGTCTAGCTATAGCTTCTAAACTGTCTTCAAAGGCAGCCCCACGTAGAGAGTGTTGCAGTAGTCCAGATGGAAAGTAACCAAGGCGTGGACTACCATGGCCAGATCTGGAGTCTCAGGGTACGGGCCTCTCCTTTGGACACATTCCGAAGGACAAAAGCCCCTTTTCAGATGACAGAGGCATATATTGATTTGTACAGACGAATGATGTCTCTGTGTTCATGAATGGTAGGTGCCGTTCTCTCTCTTCCCTTCCCTTCGTGCCATTGTACATTTGGTGCTGTACATTCGCCTGCAGCCCAGCGCATTCAGAGGCACAACTCACGTTCCCTGTACGCTTTCAGGTCAAAAGTGAGGATTTGTGCCAGATGATAGGAGTGGGTGGTTGTTAGCAACTTACTACCATCTCTTCCTGCATGTTTTGTTCTTGTGGTAAAACGCCAGGTTTCTGCCCCCTCCTTCAGTCGGAGCGGCACACCGAGTTGGATCTGCCTCGGTGATGTGTAAAAATAGATCAGAACATTTGTCTCCTTTGGATCTGAGCGGTTTTGGAGGACCAACGGGTGCGGGAGCATCTGGTGGAAATAATACTGTTTTCGGGTGGAGATGATTATCTCTACATATTTTGACAAGGGCTGTGTTTACGCTTCCCCAAATGAAGCCGAGTTAAACCTCTCTAGAGATACTCTGATGGAGAAGTTAACCACAGGATTTCACTGGAAGACCTAGAGATTTCGCCTTATCCCATACCATTCAGCTATGGCAGTATCAAGCTGCATTAATTCTACAGTATAGTTAGATGCTATAGGATCTATATCAGGCATGGGCAAAATTTGGCCCTCCAGATGTTTTGGACTTCAGCTCCCACCATTCCTAACAGCCTCAGGCGCCTTCCTTTTCCTCCTCAGCTGCTTAAGCGGAAAAGGAAAGGGCCTAAAGGAAAAGTAAGGGGCCTAAGGCTGTTAGAAATTGTGGATGTTGAAGTCCAAAACACATGGAGGGCCGAAGTTTGCTCATGCCTGATCTATATTCTTAGTCCCAGTAATGCCACGAAAGGAGAAAGTGAGTTCTTAGCTCTTGGAAAAAAGGAACCTATTAAAATAACTCCTCGTTTGTAAACCGTGACTCCCCACGATCACAGAATTATAGATTGGGAAGAGATCCCCAAAGGCCATTTAGTCCAACCACAATAATGTGGTCAGAATCAGGTCCGTATTACAGTCCAGTTCTAGACAAACACACATACTGCTTTCCATTTTAGTAATCCAAGCCAGGACGGAGGAGGAATTATGTTAATGGTTGCTATTCTTTGATAATTGGGAGCCAGGAATGCTTGCCAATCAATTGAAGCTCATTGGGAAATATACCAGTACGGCTCAATCCCTCATCTGCTCGTCCCTTCGATATACTGAGAACAAGCACAACATGTATCTCTGCCAAGCAGCCTAGCATAATTTAATTCCAGTTTAGCTGGGATACCTCTGTTCTACTGAATGTCTATGGAAAGCCCTCGTTTCCCCCTTCTGTGGCATTACTGGGGATGCATTCACACGGTAGAACTGATGCAGTTTTCAACCACTTTAACTGCCATGACTCAATGCTATAGAATCAGGGGAATTGTACTCTCTAGGAACCTCTAGGTCCTGCCAACCAGGAATTCTTGGAATCCTAGTCTGAAAAGTGACATTTCAGAGCTCTATAAATTAACCCCATTTTCCAGTTGCCTTCCTGTAGCCCTGGTGTCCTGATTGTTGCACTTCCTCCCATTGGAAGGCCTTATTTTTTCTTCCATGTCAGGAGTGACTTGAGAAACTGCAAGTAGCTTCTGGTGTGAGTGAATTGACTGTCTGCAAGGATGTTTTTGATGTTTACCATCCTTGTGGGAGGCTTTTCTTGTGCCCCTGCATGGGGAGCCGGAGCTGACAGAGGGAGCTCATCCGTGCTCTCCCCAGATTTGAACCTTTGACCTGTCAGTCTTCAGTCCTTCCAGCATGATGAGTTATTATTATAATAGGCTCCTTTTTACCCACTGCGCCACCGGGGGCTCCATTTGAAGACCTTAGAACTTTGTTGTAACAAACCTAAGTAAAACTATCAAGCCTTCTCTTGGAATAAAGGACAATGGGAATGAAGGTCAGAACAAAGCTTTGTGTGTGGTGTGAAATCTCACTTGCTGCTTCTCACGAAAGCAGAAGGTTGTATTTACTCAGTTGGCGGGAGGACAGATGGAGTGATGAGGGACATATATATCCACTCCCACTCTTCCCCGTCTCCCAGGCAAACTCCTCACTGTGTTTCAAGGCCGTGTTCTGGTGTTTCTCCAACAGTACCGCGTTGGGCAGCTGTACACCATCAGCAAGCACAGCCACCAAGAGAGTGACAAAGGCGAAGGTGTGGAAGTGGTGAAGAATGAGCCCCACGATGACCCCGTCCATGGCCGAGGCCAGTTCACCGAGAAGCGGGTGCACCTGTCCAGGTGAGGCCTGTGGTGGAATCACTCCACACTCGTGGAAACTAAGCATATGTGCGCGTGCATTAATGTGCAGGGAAAGAACCCACCATCGCTGGGGTTTGGGTCCAGTAAGGCTAGGCCTTCTGTCAACACATTGCTAATGGAACTAGGGAGTGTTTTATAGGAGACAGTGAGAGAGAACATCCACAAACTCACTCCATCCAATTATGACTGGTCTGGTCAGTCTCTTGGCAGTTCCCTCTGTTGGTCAGGGCTGGGTGGGGGCATAAAGTGGAATTCCACGCCCTCCCAAAATTGCAGAAAAGAGTGCTTTTTTGTTCTTAATGTTCTGAACCTCTTTGGGTTTTCAGTCAAGAGATAAAAGCAGGATCATCTCCTCCTTGAAATAAAAGCAGGATAACCTCCTCCTTCTCCTTCCTTTTCTCCTCCTCCTCCTCCTCCTCCTCATCTTTCTCTTCTTTGAGATAAAAGCAGGATAATCTCCTCCTCCTCCTCCTCCTCCTCCTCCTCCTCCTCCATGAGATAAAAGCAGGATCTCCTCCTCCTCCTCTTCCCCCTCCTCCTCCTTGAGATATAAGTAGGATAACCACATCCTCCCTTTTTCTCCTCCTCCTCTTCACCCTCCTCCTCCTCCTTGAGATAAAAGCAGGATTATATCATCCTTCTTCTTCTCGTTCTCCTCCTCCTTCTTGAGATATAAGCAGGATAACCTCCTCCTCGAGATATAAGTAGGATAACCTCCTCTTTCTCGTTCTTTTTCTGCTCCTCCTCCTCCTCCTCCTCCACCATCACCACCACCTTCACCTTCTTGAGATATAAGTAGGATAACCCCCCTCCTTCTCCTTCTTTTTCTCCTCCTCCTTTTTCTCCTCCTCCTCCAACACACCTGTTCAAATGCCCACAGCCTCTTATCAGCTGCTCTGCACTCCCATTTCAGCTGATCCATGAAGATCAGCCAGAACCCTCTTATAGCTGTTGAACTCATGATTGGAGACAATAATTTATGACTGGAGAAGGGCCTTGGAGAAGAAACTGGCAAACCAGGTGGAGAAACCTTACAGGCCCTGTCCAACTTATGGACTGGATATCATTTCTGGCAAATATTGATTACGTTAACTCAGAAGGAGAGGGTCAGGAAGTGATACTTGAAGCAGGAAGAGTAGGAGGTGTTTGTGATTGAGGAGATATCTGAAGAAGAAGATGACGAGATAGTAAAAGAAGAAGAAGTAGTTGAAGAAGAGGAGGAGAAGGAGGTGTTGGAGGAGAAAGAAGTTGAGGAAGAAGAAGCAGAAGGGGAGGAGGAGGAGAACTTTCCCAGTTCTACTTGAAGCCCCTCTTATTTCTGCCCAGGAGTGGGCATAAGGCCTGGTGCCTGCCTGCCAAGCATGTGCCTTGTGCTCACCGAGGCCCCTCCTTTCCCAGCCGGTCCCATGCTGACTCAATGTTCTGCGGTTCCTCTTCCCCTCATTTGTTCTCTGCTTCCCAATTAAGCTGTCAAGGATTCTGACAGTTGCTCAATGCTGGCTTTTGTGTGAAGGCCCTGGGAGATAAAGCCGCGCTTCCCCCATCCGCACCCCACCATCCACCTGTGCCACCTACAGAGCTGTCTTGGTTTGGAGGCACCCCCTCACATTCAGTCAGTCAGGGCCCCTTCTATTGTGTAAGACAGTCATCCTCTTCTGTGGAGGGAGGGAGATGGGGATGAGCAGGACCCATCATCTGATCATGATCGATGCCTGCTGTCTTTACCACATCTACCTTTGGGGACTTCATGCAGAGTTTTGTGTATGTTTGCTATATTTCATGCTTTACCTGTGTGGTGCTTGTTTTTATGGCACTTCCGTTGCACTACTTGCCAGGAATCTTTCGGGTACAAATGTCAAGTCATATTTTGGGTGCAGATCGTTTGCAGCAGTTATTCTCAGCCTGTGGTCTGCCAGAGGTTAGAGCAGACCTGGGCAAGCTTCGGCCTTCCCACCAGGTGTTTTGGACTTCAACTTCCATAATTCCTGACAGTGTAAGGCCCTTTCCTCCCCCCCCCCTCCCTTAGCCGCTTAAGTGGAAAAGGAAAGGGAAAAGGAAAAGGAAAGGGCCTAAAGGAAAAGTAAGGGGCCTAAGGCTGTTAGAAATTGTGGATGTTGAAGTCCAAAACACATGGAGGGAAGGCTCAAGTTTGCCCATGCCTGGGTTAGAGGTATCGAAGGAGACCAAGTTAGCATGGCCATTGCTTAGGAACACTGGGGACCAAATTCCAATCATTTGGAAGGCCAAAGATCGGGAACCATGAGTGTGAAGTCCACTTTCATCCATACTGAATTTCCTGGGTCTTGAGATTTTGCTTATCTGCCTGCTTGCAAGGGCAATTTGGCTGGCGTGAGAAGGGACCCATGGCTGTTGGTAGTGCTTATTAGGCTTGTGCAATGAATGAAAAAGAAGTTTCAATACTCAATACAAAATTAAGGAGTGGGGGAAAATTGTTTCTAAAGTGTTTCCAAAATTGGATGAGTTCTGTGTCATAACTATAATGTGTGAACTATTTTTTGTTACTTTCTTTAAGTAATTGTGCCAATGGGGAAACTTCAGGGGCTCTTTTCTCCTTCATTTTTAGAGCTATCAGCATGAAACTTGCTACAATTTTAGAACACATTTACCATGGTTAGCCCATCAAGTTTCAGAACACCTCACTCATCCACGGATTTTTGAGGAATTTTTACAAACATTAAAAAGCAACAAGAGCAATCTCCTTGAATATTCCATACAATGACACAAGATAACGGGATTATTCCCTCCAAGTTTCAGAAATATTCATACATCTACTGATTTTCTGAAATTTTAAAAAAGTTTTAACAAAAACTTTAAAAAATAAAGCCACAACTTCTATGTCATTGAATGTCTTTAACCAATAGAGCTTCCACTTGCTTTCATGTCAAGCTGATTTTCATACCGAGAGGGGCCTTCCCATTATTTGCTCCCGAAAGTAACGAAAGAACGGATGAAACAAAGGAAAACGGTTTCGCACACAACTCTATACCACACACTATAGTAAGCAAGTCAATGGAAATTCATTGAAAGTGCCTGGGGAGGTTGATTTGAGGGCTAAATCCCCTGGACCAGTGGCCATTCTGTTGGGAAATACATAGTTGAAATATAGCCCATCTTCTAAAAAATGGGGGATAGATAGGATAGCAATATAGATACATAGATGCACACATTCAGACACACTCACACACAAAATTTGCCTTGGACCTCATGGGGACCCAAATCCGTGGATGCCTAAGCCCCATGATGAACAAATGATGAGTAAAATAGTGTCCCTTATATAAAATGGCTTTTATATCTTGTTTTTTGGAATTGTTTGAGCAATACTTTGACAGGAAAGATGGGTGAACCCATGAAAGGCTGGCTGTATTCCAAAATCTACTTAACGGCCGGCTGATAGGTTGCTTTTATTTTATGGTATTGATGGATTCCTTTTAACACAAACTGTGTCGTGCACAAATAAAATGCAGAGGAAAAATACAAAAAGCAAGAGAAGTTGCCTCTTGCCTCTCTAATATGGATTGGCGATGGCACAGGTTTGGACTCCATTCCTCAAGAGATAAACAACAGCAGTTCTAGTTTCTAGCAAGTTATTGTAGTGCTGTTGCTAAGATGCTTAGGCTCTACCTCTAGAGCCCTCGATTACCAGGACATCGTCTAAACATTGAGAAAATCAGCCTTTTTCTTAGGTTTGATTCCCAAGTTGTCCAGTTCTTTCCTATTTGAGAAAACCCACTTGGAATAAGAGCAAGGCGTAATGGTGGACTCACAGATTTGCATGTATTCATTGCAGGAGTTTATAATATTTCCTGCCCAACTGGTTCTGTGTTCTTCCACAGCTATTCTTTGTCCTGCCGGTGTATGTTAAGATCCAACTGTTATTCTTTCTTGGGAAAGCTTTCCTCTTGTGTACCCAGCACTCACGCATCCATCATCTGCAAAATACACAGAGGCAGAACAAAGAACTCCAGGTCTGAGGGAGGCTGAAAGCTTTCCGTTCAGGCTTGAGCTCAACTTGGCGTCTCTCCTCACAGCCTGCCTCTTCCACAAAGAGAACCATGCATTGATCAGGAAGAATACTACAATTTAATAAAACCTCACCTCCTCCAGGTTGAACTGAACTCACTAAACTGGGCTCTACAGGCCAATGAGTAGGTATTCTACAACAGACATCGGAAGAGCTGCAAGACCACAAGAGTTAAGACGAAGATCCACCCAGAGGAAAAGCGTTCTTAACATACATCAAGTGAACCACTGATTGCATAGGGAAGTAGATGAAGAAATGCAACCTACAAACTATCTACAGACCCTCAAAGACAATGCTACACTCAGCAAAGGATAAGAGATATCCTCTAACCTATGCAGGAGTCTATCATATACCGTGCAACTGAGGACAAGTCTACATAGGGACCACCAAACGCCGCATTGCCCAGACACAAATCAAAGAACATGAAAGGCACTGCAGACTAACTCACCCAGAGAAGTCAGCTATGGCAGAGTGCTTGATGAACCAACACAGTATATTATTTGGGAACACAGAAATGTTGGACCACTTTCACAACCATCATGTCAGACTACACAGAGAAGCCATTGAAACCCACAAGAATGACGTGGACAATTCCAACAGAATAATAATAATAATAATAATAATAATAATAATAATAATAATAACCCCGCTCTATCTCCCTGAAGGGACTCAGGGCAGATTAGGAGGAAACCATGAAAATGAACACAATCTGAATAGCAGTATTAAAAAACACACCAGAATCAAGACAGTAAATAAGGAACACCACTCAGTAACAGGGGAACTCCAGACAACAAACAACCAAGTGCCAGTTAACACCTCCCAAACACAGGATGCCTCCAGGCACAACAGCCAAGCTAGCTCTATGCAAATATCCTCACTGATTGGCTTTGCTGCTTCATAGCTACTCAATGCCATTCAAGCTTACCAATTGCAACAT